CCACCACAGTGGGCTCAGATAAGGATTCTTCATTTTCAGAAGGAAAGCCTGTGTTTTCGTTTAAAAGCTGGAGCTGGGCGTAGTGGTGCACACCTTTAGTCCCAGCTCTCGGGAAGTGAACCCAGGTGGAGCTCTATGAGTTCCAGGCCAGCCTGGTCTACAGAGCTAGTTCCGGGGCAGCCTGGCCACATAGGAGTTGGGGAATGTTCTCCTAATATTTATTGCTTAATCCATGTGACCAGGACATACCATAATTTTGTTGTTGTTGTTTTTTCGAGACAGGGTTTCTCTGTGTAGCTTTACGCCTTTCCTGGAGCTCACTCTGTAGCCCAGGTTGGCCTCGAACTCACAGAGATCCGCCTGCCTCTGCCTCCCGAGTGCTGGGATTAAAGGCGTGTGCCACCACTGCCCAGCTGACATACCATACTTTATTATCTCACAAGTCTAGGTTGTGACAAAACAAAACAAAACAAACAAAAAAAAAAACCACCAGGGTCAGATTTACTGAAAAGCACTTTTCATGGCTGGTGTTACCTGTGTGTGGTGTGTACACTTCCTGTGTGCCTGTGGATGGGGGAGGGGTGTGTACCTTGTGTTCCATCACTCTCTGCCTTTGTCACTTGGAGAGTCCCTAGCTGAATCTGGAGCTATGGTGGTAGCATCTGGAGGTCCTTGTGTGTCAACCTCCCCAGTGCTGGGACGGACCGCGTGACCCTTCTCTTCAAGGCAGCCCTCTCAGAGGTGACTAGATCAGCCAATAGGAGGAGCTTTTCCCTCAGGCATCGAGTTCTGGTGGGGCCTGGAGGACTCACAGTGAAAACAGGCTGTCATGAAGTGAAGCTGCCTTCTGTGTCCTGTACCTTCCAAACACACCTCTCTGCACTCCGGCTCTCACCAGAAACCCAAGCAGATCCAGAGACAGTCAGCTTCCCAGGTGCCTGAACCATAATCCAAAAGAAACCCTTGGCTGGGGGTGAGGTGTGGAGGTGACTCAGGAGGTTCCGGTCGTAGTCAGCTATGTGGTGAGTTTGGGGCCAGCCTCAGATACAGGAGACCCTTAAAACCAAAGGAACAAAGCCAACAGCAACTCTAAAGTCAGTCGTGGTGGCACGCACCAGTAATCTCAGCACTAGGGAGGCTGAGGCAGGGGGAAGGCTCATTGAGATTGGCCTACACAGTAAGATCATATCTCAAAAAACCCAAACTCCAAAACACCAACAAAACTACATCAAATAGCTCTTGGTGATACCTCATGTCTGCAGTCTCCACACTTGGGAGGCTAGAGCGGGAGGATTGCCGTGGGTTTGAGGCCAACCTGGGCTATAGAGTAAGACTCTATCTCAAAAAGCAGAACAGAAGAGGCAGAGGATGTGACTCAGTTGGCATTGCCCCTGCCTAGCATGGGCAAAGCCTGGGTTCCAGCCCCAGCACCCCAAGAAGCTGGAGTGGTAGTGTGTGCCTGTGCGTCCAGCACTGGGGAAGTAGAGGCAGGAGGACCATCCTAGGCTACATAGGAAGCTGGAATCAGAAAATGAAAAAGAGCCAGGTATGGCAGCACACACCTGTAGCTAGAGTTTTCCTGCCTTGCCCACAGTCAGGACAAATCTTTGTCACCCGCCAGTCCCATAGCTGCTCAGACCCAACCAAGTAAGCACAGAGACTTATATTGGTTACAAACTGTATGGCCGTGGCAGGCTTCTTGCTAATTGTTCTTATAGCTTAAATTAATCCATTTCTATTAATCTATACCTTGCCACATGGCTCGTGGCTTACCGGGATCTTCACATGCGGCTTGTCATGGTGGTGGCTGGCAGTGTCTCTCTCACCCAGCTTCCTGTTCTCTCAATTCTCCTCTCTGTTGGTCCTGCCTATACTTCCTGCCTGGCCACTGGCCATTCAGTGATTTATTTATTGACCAATCAGCAACACATTTGACATACAGACCATCCCACAGCACACACCTTTATTCCCAACACTCAGGAGGCAAAGGCAGGTAGATCTCTGTGAGTTGGAGACCAGCCTGGTCTAGTGAGGCCAGCCTGGAATAAATAGTGAGAACCTGTCTTTAAAAAAAGGGAGAGGGGGCTGGAGAGATGGCTCAGTGGTTAAGAGCACTGATTGCTCTTCCAGGGGACCCAGGTTCAGTTCCCAGCAACCACATGGTGGCTCACAACCATCTATAATGAGATCTGGTGCCCTCTTCTGGTGTGCAGGCACGCATGCGGGCAGAACACTGTATACACAATAAATAAATAAATAAATAAATAAATAAATAAACAAACAAACAAATAAATAATAAAAAGGAAACACACACAAATCTTCCTCAGTTTTCTTTTGTGGAATAATCTTTTTGTACACTGTGAAGATGTGTCTTTGCCAATGTGTCTTTTGGTTTAAAAAAGAGCTGAATGGCCAGGTGGTGGTGCTGGTGTCTGCCTTTAATCCCAGCACTTGGGAGGCAGATGCAGGTGGATCTCTATGAATTCAAGGCCAACCTGGTCTACAGAGCGAGATCCAGGACAGGCACCAAAACTACACAAAGAAACCCTGTCTGGGGGGTGGGGGGGAGAACTGAGTGGCCAGTAGCTAGTCAGGAAGAGGTTAGGGGACTTCCAGGCAGAGAGAAGAGAGGAGAAGATGAATCTGGGAGGCATGGGAGAGATGCCAGAGGAGACGGTGGGGAAGCAGGACATAGGGGAAGAGAGGAAAAAGCCACGAGCCTGGGCTGGAGAGATGGCTCAGCGGTTAAGAGCACTGACTGCTTTTCCAGAGGTCCTGAGTTCAATTCCCAGCAACCACATGGTGGCTCACAACCATCTGTAATGAGATCTGGCACCCTCTTCTGTATACATAATAAATAAATAAATCTTAAAAAAAAAAAAAAAAAAGCCACGAGCCACGTGACAACATGTACATTAATAGAAACGGGTTCATTTAAGTTATAAGAGCTAGTCATAAACAAGCCTAAGCTATAGGCTGAGTTTTCATAATTAATAAGAAGTCTCTGTGTCATGATTTGGGGGCTGGTGGTTCAAGAAAGCCTGCTACAACTTTCTGTAACAAACAAGAGCCAAACCTCTCCCTGAACCCACAGGCCTTACGATCTGTGCCAGCACGTCCTGTGCCCCCGGCTCACTCTCATCTAGCCACAGGACGAAGGGGGCCTCAAACGCAGATTCCCCTGGCTTCTCCCTAGTGCTTAAAATTGTGTGCCACCACCCTGGCACAGGCTACTTTCATTTTTGTGTGTTTGCCTGTGTGGGACTACAGGCACTCAGGTGCAGGTGCCCAGAGAGGCCAGAGTGCTGCATCCCCTGGATCTGGAGCTGTGGGTGCTGCTGCCTCTCTGACCACAAAGCTGTCTTTCCAGCCCCATGATAGACTTGTATTCCCCTTCTCCGTCACTGAGCCAGATGACACCTCCTCAGAGAAGCTCGCCTGGCTTCCTCACTGCTCCTATCACTTTATTTCCAAGAAAATATTTTGAGTTTTTGTTTGGTTGGTTGATTGGTTGGTTAGTTTTTTCAAGACAGGGTTTCTCTGCGTGGTTTTTTAGTGCCTGTCCCTAGATGGGACCAATGCGGTGAGAGTTTTGCGAGGTCTTCAAGAATTCACATGGAATGAATCAGCTGTTATTTCTTCCTTTTCTTCTTCACCACCGCCAAGACAGGGTCTTATTATGTAACCCCTGGTGTCATGGAACTCACTCTGTAGTCCAGGCTGGCCTCAAATTCATAGAGATCCGCCCGCCTGCCTCTGTCTCCCGAGTGCTGGGATTGGAGGTGTGCGCCACCGCGCCTGCCTCTGTCTCCCTTCTTTTTCTTCTTACATTTTGTTTTAGTTTAAATTTTTTATTTTGTTATTACTCTGTGTGTGTGTGTGTGTGTGTGTGTGTGTGTGTGCCCTCAGAGGCCAGAAGAGGGTATCTTCTGGTTGACTTTTGTAAACTTGACACACACCAGAATGATTTGGAAAGAGGAAACTTCAACTGAGAAAATGTCTCTATCAGATTGGCCTGTGGGCAGATCTATGAGGCATTTTTTTCATTAATTATTCATGTGGGAGGGCCCATCTGGCTGTGGGCAGTACCACCGTGGGCAGGTGGTCCTGAGTGTTACAAGAAATCGGGCTGAGCAAACCATGGAGAGCAAGCCAGAAAGCAGCATCCTCCATGGCCTCTGCATCAGTTCCTGCAGGGTTCCTGCTCTGACTTCCTTCAGCGATGGACTGTGATCTGTAAGCCAAATAAACCCTTTCCCTCCCAAGATTTTTTGGTCATGGTGTTTTATTACAGCAATAGAAACCCTAACTAAGACAGAATTAGTACCAGGAGTGGGGTATTTCTATGACAGACCTGACCATGTTTTGGGGAGGACTGTGGAAGGACTTTGGAACTTTGGGTCAGAAAAACCATTGAGTGTTCTGAGCTGTGCTGGCTAGTTTTACGTCAATTTGACACAAGTTGGAGTCATCTGAGAGGGGGGAACCTCAATGAGGAAACGCCTCAACAGATCTGGCTGTAGGCAAGCCCATGGGGCATTTTCTTAATTAGTGATTGATGGGGGAGGACCTCGCCTAATGTCGGTGGTGCCATCCCTGGGCTGGTGGTCCTGGGTTTTGTAAGAAAGCAGGCTGAGCAAGCCAAGGAGAGCAAGCCAGAAAGCAGCACCCTCCATGGCCTCTGCATCAGCTCCTGCCTCCAGGATCCTGCTCTGACTTCCCTCTGTGAAGTGTAAGCAAAATAAACCCTCCCTCCTCCAGTTGCATTTGGTCATGGTGTTTCATCATAGCAACAAAACCCTAGCTAAACAAGTGCTCAATGAGTGCTTGTGGGAACTTAAAAGAAAATTCTGAGAGCAGCACAGACCGTGGAGGCTTAGCTTCGGAAGTTTGAGAGACCCTCAAAGACTCTGTGAGGGCCATTCAACATTCTGAACGATGGGCTGTGATTAACAAGAGACAAAGACCACTAAACTGAAACCTTTGCTTTGCTGGAACAGTCAGTCCTTATCAGCTGGGGCTAAAGAGTCAGCTGTGGCTAAGAAGAGCACAGCATCATTGAGGTGAGGTTTATCAGAACGTGCTTCCTCAGGGTCAGCACACAGAAGCTGCAGTGCAGAGCGGGCCAAGGCTGTACCTTGTGCTGGCAGCTGAACTTGGTAATATGTAAGTGTCCCCGGTGGTACTGGATTTGAAGACATGAAGGGTCATGGAGAGCACCCGAGGCTTGGCGTTATATGGCAGGGTTAAAGTCCCTGAAAGGGCCCTAGTGGAGGCTATTGAAAGTTCTCCCGGTTGTAATGAAGACCCAAGCATTTGGAGATGCCAGTATCATGGGATGACCAACAAGACCAGCTACTGTGGAATGGAGCTGAGTTAAGCCTGTGAGATGAGTTATGTGTGTGTCGGACTCCAAGAGGGAGAGCTACACAAGCCCTTTGCAGCCTCGATCGTGAGTCAGACATCTGGCACCGACTTTCACACTGTTGGGCTGTGGTTTTGCCTTGGTTTGAATGTGACTATACCCAGTTCTTCCCTCGTGGAGTAAGAAAGTATATAACTAGTTTTTTTTGTTGTTGTTGTTGTTGTTGTTTTAATTTTACAAAAGCCCACAATTAAGAAACTTTGGATTTTTAGAGAGACCTTAAATACTTTAAAAAAAAAAAAAAAAAAAAAGGACTACTTTTAAGGGTTTGAATTTTTAAAGATTATGGGACTTTTAAAAGTTGGATTTTTTAGCCGGGCGGTGGTGGCGCACGCCTTTAATCCCAGCACTCGGGAGGCAGAGCCAGGCGGATCCCTGTGAGTTCGAGGCCAGCCTGGGCTACCAAGTGAGTTCCAGGAAAGGCGCAAAGCTACACAGAGAAACCCTGTCTCGAAAAACCAAAAAAAAAAAAAAAAAAAAAAAGTTGGATTTTTTGTTGTTGTTGTTTGTTTTTTTAAAGCAGGGCAGTGGTGGTACATGACTCTAATACTGGCACTTTGGAGGCAGAGGCAGGCAGATCGCTGGGAGTTTAAGGCCAGCCTGGTCTACAGAATGAGGTCTAGGATAGCCAGGGCTACACTGCTTCAAAAAAGTAAGAAATAAGTTGAAGTGTTTTATTCTGTGATATTAATGAGATCTTGGAAGAAAGGAAGGGTTATGGCTTAATAGTGTTGTGTTGGTGCATCAAACTGACAAAGGGTATGTTGTCCTGCCTTATTTTTTGGTCTACTTGACACAAGCTAGAGTCATTTGGGAAGAGGAACCTCAATGGAGGAAATGCCTTCATTAGATTGTCCTGTAGGCAGGCCTGTGGGGCATCCGTTTGGATGGATGATTGATGTGGGAGGACACAGTACAGTCACTGTGGGTAATACCATCTCTGGGTGGGTGGTCCTGGGTTGTATAAGAAAGCAGGCTGAACAAGCCATGAGGAGCAAGCCAGTAAACAGTTCCTCTATGCCCTCTGCTTTAGTTCCTGCCTCCAAGTTTCTGCCTTGACTTCCCTCAATGATAGACTAAAACCTGTAAAGTGAAATAAATCCTTTACTCCCCAGGTTGCATTTAGCCATAGGGTTTTAAGCACAGCAATACAAACCCAGTTTTAAGCATTTATGAGCTGCTTATGTGTGTGTAGAATTTGAACTCAAGTTCTCATGATTGAGCACCAAGTGTTCTTAACCACTGAGACACCTATCCAACCCTTGGGGTTTTTTTTGGTTTTTTTGTTGTTGTGAGGCAGGGTCTCATAGCACAGGCTAGCTCAGAACTCTCTACATAGTGGAGGATGACTTTGAACTTGATTCTCCTGCCTCCACTTCCCAAGTACTGGGATTATAACTGTGTGCAACCACAGTTGGTTTATGTGGTCCTGGGGACCACACCAAAGGTTCATGCATTCTAGGTTAGCACACTACCTACTTAGCTATATTCCCAGCCTTGGTTTTATTTATTTTTATTTACTTGTTTGTTTACTTAAGACAGTATCTCAGTCTATAACCCAGGCTGGCCTCAGACTTGACTCCTGCTTCATCCTCCAAATCGCTGGGACTATGGACATGTGCATGCCTCCTCCTCCTTCTTGCCCTTCCTTTTCTCTTAGCCTGAACCCAAGTCTTCACACGTGCAAAGGATATATTCCTGCACTGAGCTACAGTGTTACTTATTTCTGAGAACTCTTTACATATGAACAGAAGAGCTTCATTAACTATATTCAACACCTTGTTCCTTTCTTTGTATTTTCTCATTCATCTCTCAATATGGTCCTATGGGATGGGTGCTACTCTTTTCTTTGTCTTATGGGTGAGGGGACCGGACTACACCATCTTCTAACAATGCATTGATAACCCAGGACCCTCACCTACATGTACCATGCACCCACACCCCTTTTCTAATAATGCACCCAGAAATCCAAGACAGCTATAGGAGGATGGCAATGTAGCCCAGTTCATAAAGGCACTTGCTGCTAAGGTTGAAGACCTGAGTTCAATCCTCAGGATCCACGTGGTGGAAGGAGAAAATGGATTCCTGCAAATTGTTCTCTGAACTCCAGGCTCGCCCTGTGACACGTGCACACCCGCTAAATGGATAAATGAAATAATTAAAAACAAGCACACAAAAGCAAGCAACGTTTTTTCATCCCCCAATGACCATCAGAGTTTCTGTTCAAATGAGTTTCTCAACTTATCTGGGTGTGAGGTTAGGTGGCCAGCCCAGCCTGGACTGGTTGTGGTTCATACGCGGTAAAGGCAGACTGTGGCCGCAAGTGAACTTTCAGGTAGAGTCCCCTGTTCGCCATCTTCTACATTTGCGTAATAGGGTGTGCATAAGACTAGAAACAGATGCCTCATGGGAAAGGGCATGCAGAACCAAGTTCCTCTAACCCAGTCCTGTCAGTCAAAGCAAGGAGCCGCCAGCCGAACCCCTTAGCAATCAAACCCCTCTTTCTCTAGATTCCAGGAAAGGAAGCCCTGAGCACTAACAACCATGGGGCCTTTGATTACCCTCACTCATGTGGCCCTTAGTCAGTCTTTCTGTGTAGCATGGGGGTCTCTAGGGCCTACAAAAGGCGTCCGATCCCTTGGAACTGCAATTATATACAGTTTTATGCCACCATGTGGGTGCTGGGACTCGAGCCCAGGTCCTCTGCAAGAACAAGAGCTCTTAACCACTGAGCCATCGCTCCAGCCTTATTGATTTCTTTGCTGTATTGCATGCCCATGGTCCTGGTGCGCATGCCATGGTCCACATGCCATGATGTACATATGGAGGTCAGAGGTTAACCTGGGGGAATTGTCTCTCTCCTTCCAAGTGGGTTCCAGGGACCACACTCAGGTTGTGTCCGGCTTGATGGCAAGCCGGTGCCTGCTGAGGCTTCTCACCAGCCTTCCTCCTTTTTATTTTTTAAACTAGGTTCTTGCAGTGTAGTCCCAGCTGGCCTCTCAGACTCTGTGATCCCCCTGCCTCAGCCTCCTCAGTGCTGGGGACTATAGGTGTGAGCCACCCTGAGCAGTTACTATTCTATCTTTTTCAGCTGATAACCTCAGGTGTTTTGTTACAGTATCAGGAAGCTGACTCATTAGCCCAAAGTGATGTTATCAAAATGAACTGAGAACCCAGTGAGCTTGCTTCTCTCCCCCAAGCCCTTGGTCACGGTTCCCACAGTCGGGAGCTCCTGGGGTCTCTAAGATGACAGGCAATAAAATGTTTGAGTTACCTCCTGGTAGATGACATCCGAGGACACATTGTACCCGTCACAGTTCGCAGTACCTATGGATTTACAACAGCCCCTGGGGTAGGTGTGGCCGGTTGTCACAAGGGTGGCCTTTCTGTCCCGTGGCCCCTGCACACAACCCTCATGTGATGACCCAAACGGAGTAAGTGAACCAGGGGCTCAGCCCCTGAGCATAGAGACAAGACACACGTTTTGTGTTGTTTGAGGTAGGTTCTTGGCAAGTAGCTCATGATTCTCCTGCCTCAGCCTCCTGGATTCTGCAATCACAAGTGTTTGCCATGATTTCTGGCTCCAGATGTATGCTTTTTTCTGTATGTGTGTCTATAAGTACAATTGTGTGTATTTGTGTGTGTGTGTGTGTGCCTGCATTCATGTGGAGGCCAAAGGTCAACCTTGAGTGTTCTCCATCTTGTGTTTTCTGTTTTGTTTTGAATTACATTTGCTTTATCTTATGTGTATGTGTGTGCGTGTGTGTGTGGAGGTCAGAGAACACCTTAAAGGAGTCAGTTCTCATCTCCCAGCATTTGAGTCCCGGGATAAACTCAGGTCATCAGGCTTGGCGGCAAGCACCCAGTGAGCCCCACCTTGTGTTTTGAGACAGGGTCTCTCACTGCCTTGGAATTCATTGATAGGCTGGTCACGGGTCCCAGAGACGCCACTGTCTCGTCTCCCCAATGCTGAGACACAGAAGTGCACCACCATCCCTGGTTCATATGGTGCTGGGGAAGGAACCCAGGACATGTGCTTGCCAGACTGGCCGTTTGTGAACTGAGCCACGCTCCAGCCCTTCTCCAGGCCTTTAGATGGATTTCCTATTCTGTGACTGGCCCAGTGACCCACAGGGAGGCTGTCTCCTTGTCCCCATAAGCACATCCTGTCATCACCTCCCAAATAGAGCACATGACCTCTTAACGCACCTGAGCAGTGACAGAAGAGTACTCAGCCCCTCAGTGGGGATTCCAGGTAGAGGCCTCCGGCTAAGACACCCCTCTACCCCAATCTTCGGACATCTTTTCAAATTCTACGATGTGCCTGCCTTGCCCATTACTTCCCATCTCCCTGCAGAAGACAGGTTGGATGGTGACAGATTGCTGGTGTCCCCTGCTGGACAAGGCTGGGGTTGTCAGCTTCCCCCCCCCCCCAGTATGCCCCCATCTCTGGGCTTCTAGGTGTCAGGGGAGGGAATGGAGTGGGGACGCCTCTGGGGACCAGACTTCTGATGGCTTCTATTTCTGTGACTTAGAAATTCTGTACTCACAAGTGGGAAGAATACAAGCACCACAGAGGCCATCACCACTTCCAGGATGACAATGATAACCAGGAGCAGGAAACACTAGAGGACACAGAGAGGCACAGGACAGGGCTGGGCTGGGAGCCTGCTTGGCGGATCCCACCGACCTGGTGCTGAGGAGGGAAGAGGTTCCGTCCTCCACCCCACGCCCTTTCTACTGGGCTCCAGTTTGAAAGAACTCAAATGCGGATGGAGGCGGGAGGTTGCTGGGTTTTGTTTCCAGCTCTGTTTCCAGGGTGCAGAAAGATCCAGGTTCAGGCTGGCCTGGGGTGCTTGAGGGAGCTGCCAGATGGGAACCTTCTCTTGAGATGCTTGAGGGGAGAGCTCAAAGCCGGTGCATATGGGTTCAAGGTTGATGAAGAAGGGGGCACTGTGAGAGCACTGGAGCCTCAGCCACCTGCGGTACCAAAATCAAACAAAGAAGCCAGGAGCCTGGACTTGAAAAGCGGGAGAGGGAGAATGAGAGTCATCCTTGGTTGCCTAGCCAGATCAAGGCCAGCCTGGGCTACATGAGACCCTGACTCAAGAAAAAAAAGCTAGTTATGAACCAGGTATGGGAGCGAACACCTTTATTCTTAGCACCCTGGAGGCGGACACAGGAGGATCTTGAGTTTTAGGTATGCTTGGGCTATCTACTGAGATCCTGTCTAAAACAACAACAACAACAGCAACAACAAAAACTAAGCTGGGCAGTGGTGGCACACGCCTTAATCCCAGCACTCAGAAGGCAGGTGGATCTCTGTGAGTTTAAGGCCATCCTGGTCTACAAATCGAGTTCCAGGATAGCCAGAACTGTTACAGAGAGAAACCCTGTCTGGAAAAACAAACAAAATACAATCTAAAACAGTGGCCGTAGAGGGAAAGACGGTGGATACATGGCAGGGCTGTGTGGTCTCTACGTGGAGACTACTTACAGTCAGGAGCATGCCTCTGTTTTCCATCGTCATTCCATACCACGCCCAAGGCTGAGCACTCTGGTGATGCGTCTCATTCCCAGGCTCAGATAGCCAAAGTGAAAGAGGTAGGCAGAGGACATCCCAAGGACCTTTGTCAGTGAGGCCTCTCCATACATGACCCCAAGAACCAGTCCGGTGAGGACCATGCCAGACACCTGGAGAACAGAAACCAAACAGAAGGTCAGGGGGTACAAGTGGGAGTCTTCCTGGGTGGGGCCAGAGGGAAGCAGAAACTAATAAAATCAGCAAAAATGATAAACAGAGCAATACCCCGAGCTGGTAGTGATGCAGAAACATCAGGAAGCAGCCTGACATTGGTGGCGCATGCCTTTAATCCCAGCATTCAGGAAGCAGAGACAAGCAGATCTCTATTTTTGTTTGTTTGTTTTGTTTTTGTTTTGAGAGAGTCTCACTATGTATCTCTAACTGATCTGGAATTCAATATATAAACCAGGCTGACCTTGAACTCACAGAGATCCAACTGCCTCTGCCTCCTGGGTACTAGAATTAAAGGCATGCTGGCCGGGGAGTGGTGGCGCACACCTTTAATCCCAGCACTCAGGAGGCAGAATCAGGTGGATCTCTGTGAGTTTGAGGCCAGCCTGGTCTACAGAGCGAGATCTAGGACAGGCACCAAAACTACACAGAGAAATATTGGTGAAATTATTAAGGCCACTCCACGTAGTTAAAAGGAGATTTATTTAATGGCATAACTTACAAATTAAGGGATAGGTAGGTCGCGGAGTCTGGGGAAGGTGTATCGCAGTCCAGCGGTGTTCTCTGGAGCTCTACTTGGCCCACTTTCACCATCCAAGGTCCCGGAACCGAGAGAGAGCGCTGGCCCATCCAGATCTCGGGTCTCCAGGTGCCTCCCTTGGCCCTGCCTTGTAGGCGTGACAGTTGCCGAAGTGTCAATGTGGGTTGGAACTTCCAGATCAAAGCTGGACTAGCTACCCACTACATCTCCCCCTTTTTGTCTAAATAAGAAGGTTCTAACCTAATACAAGACTATATACAAAGGAATGGTTATCAAATATTGTCCAGGGATAATGAGGGATAATGACCTAGATAAGATGGAACTACAACCAATGCAAACAATATCAAGCAAGAAACACATACTAAAATCCAGAGAAGTATAGAGCATAGGTAAATGGCATGTTACAAAGATCATTCCAAAAGGTGTCCTATCCTAAAGAACCTGAATCTAATGTTTAATATGTTCTATCTACTAAGTTGTAACTATAACTGCTAGTCTTCAATCTCGTCAAAGACCTGAGAAGGAATATAATGGTACCTGAGAAATGGTAGATGGATGCAAGCAACTTTCGGGAATCTTGCGAGAGTAGACGGAGACAGCTGGCAGCCTGGACAGTCACCTAATGTTTCTCAGCATTGCTGGTGCATTCAAATTGGCTACAGGCCTAAAGTATCTGACAGACCATTTTCCGAAGCAGGAATTCTGAAAGACCATCTTACCCTGTCTTGACAGAGTGCAGTGGTCGCTTTCCTTGTGTCCCGCTTGTCCAGAAAGGACAGCATTGCATTTGTACTGTCAGCCGTCGAGGCAAGGGCAGTTCTTTGCCCAGTAGGCCATTTTGTGCCAAGAAGACAAACTTCCAAATGGAAATGTCTTAGAAGCCCAACATTCTCTGAGGATCAAATTGGTGCAGCCAGGAGCAATTGTGTCTCATGTCAACAGAATTCTAAGTTATTTAAATGCCATATTCTCTAGGTCTATGAAGTGTTTGAAGATTACCTGTCCATCTGACCTATGTATCTGTAAATCTGGATAACCTAACTAACATAACTATAGAGATGACAAGCATAGGTGGCTATAAATCTATAAGTCTTATCTACCGAAATAACCTAAGGACTATGACTTCACATAAACAAGGTAAACAGTCTATAAGCAAATGTATGGTAAAGAATGATGACTTCAAGATTGTGACAATACACAAGATATTTATAACAGAGGTAGGAGTATATAGTGCAATATGCAATATGACAATAATCTTAAATATATATCAATATTTATAACAGAGGTAAGAGTATATAGTGCGATATGCAATATGACAATAATCTTAAATATATATCAATATACCGAATATCCTAAACAGAAGTAGAACATACATAAAGTATGACAGATATAAATTTACATTTGTATCAATATACAAATATTTCAAATAAGAGTAGAAATATATGTACATTATAACAAATATAGTTCTGTATTTGTATCAATATACAAATTATCTTAAACAGGAATATAAAAATAGTTTACATTTGTATCAACATATAAGAATCCATAACAGTGCAAATTACAGTGCAAATTATTTAAGGCTGCTATTTTACTAAATTTGTTTACTAGTGTATACAAAATCTACCATAATATCGTATACCTATCCATTCCATTTCTTCTTTGCTCTTTTTTCTCTTTTTTTTTTAGAATGCTGAGTTTAATATTTTCTTCCACCCCCAACCCTATAACCATCATCCATAACCCTGAGAATTATGAAACCTAGGGGAGAAGGGGCGTCATTTTCTTAGAATTGCTTCCTGCTGTTTAGGGGGTGATGTTATCTCTGTTGGGTACTGTGAGAAAGTTCAGATAGTTAAATCTCAGTTAGACTAACTGTAGGTTCTGCAGCAAGTCTTAGAGTAATGGGTAAGATTGTCTGAAATTCTGGTAAGAAGTGTAGTATGATGATGATTACCATGGCATCATTCTGGATTGGGTAGAGTTGTTGTTGTTGGGGCCCCATCTTCCTTCTGGAGACTTCTGAGATTGCTATTAGAAAAACTTATTTGTTATCAAAATGGAAGGTTTGGATTTAAAGAGGACATAGCATGTAAGAAAGGATTCTGAGAAATCAAGAGTAAGCATGGAGAGAATTAGAATCTAGAAGACAATGGTCCCTTTTTATTGGTTTCCTTCTGTCCCACACCAGAGGGCTCTTCTGATATGGGACTGAAGAATCTCTCAAACTTTTCTTTTAGCAATGTGCTTGGGTTTAGAGAAGGAGTGAGCCAATTCCATCTCCAAAGCCAGCTTGGCTTATAATTGAATTGGAACCACAACTTTTCTAGATTGATAGAGAGATAGATGTTAGACAGTGAGATTTTACCATGTGTAGAATGGTACCAATAGATTCTTTCTTTCTGCTGTAAACATCCGGATATCCAAGGCCTCATGATTTTTGGAAGATGGGTATTTCCATTATCCTGGAAAGACAAAAACAGAACCCTACCCCAACCTTTGATTGTTAAATTTTTCTTACAACTTGTAGAGATGTCACATTGGTGGATGATCTTTTACTTCTCCTCATCAAGGGGTTTTTCCTGTTTGAATTGAATTTTTATTAATTTTGTTGGTATCCATAGCTTTTCTTCTCCTGCAGAAACAAAGGCAAAACCCCTTCCCCAACGTAGAACATATCCAGGTTTCCATTCTGAGGTCAGCACATCCTTGAAATAAACTGGTTGGTTTAGCTCAGGAGTTTTGTCTGTCATCCAATGTCTCTCCGCAGCTGTTGTTCCTTTCTCATCAGCATTGAGAAAATTCAAGGTTAATAAAACACTATGCAATCTATTTCTAGGAGTCATTGTTACCTGTTGCTGTTTATTTAGCATATCCTTTAAAGTCTGATTGGATCTTTCTATGACTGCTTGGCCTGTGGGATTGTGTGGTATACCTGTAACATGCTTTATATTGTAATAAGCAAAGAATTGTCTCATTTTATTGGAGACATGTGCTGGGGCATTTTCTGTCTTAATTTGTACAGGTATTCCCATGATGGCCATAACTTCTAATAGGTGTGTAATCACAGAATCAGCCTTTTCAGAACTCATAGGAGTTGCCCATTGAAATCCTGAATAGGTGTCAATGGTATGATGTACATACTTTAATCTTCCAAATTCTGCAAAATGAAACACATCCATCTGCCAAATTTCATTTCTTTGTACACCTTTTGGATTGCTCCCTGCAGGTAATGGAAGTTGGTTATAGATGGAACAAGTAGGACATTTTTTCACAATATCCTTAGCTTGTTGCCAAGTGATGGAGAAATGCTTCTTCAAACCTTTGCTATTTACATGGTATTTCTTATGAAATTCTGAAGCTTCTAGCACATTACCTATTAGTAACTGATCAATCTCATCATTACCTTGTGCTAGAGGTACTGGCAGACCTGTATGGGATCTGATATGTGTTATATATATAGGATGTTCCCTTTTTCTGATGATTTCCTGCAATTATATGAATAATGAAGTTAATTCTGTATTATCAGGAATAAATTCAGCAGTTTCAATATGTAAAACAACTCTCTCTGCATATTGAGAGTCAGTGACTATATTGAGGGGTTCTGTGAAGTCCATCAGTGCCATAAGAATGGCATATAGTTCTGCCTTTTGTACAGAGCTGTATGGACTTTGTACCACTTTACCTAGGTCTCCTGATTTATATCCTGCTTTCCCTGATTTATTTGCATCAGTATAGAATGTGAGGACTCCAGAAATTGGCTTTTGTCATACAATGTGAGGAAGGACCCATTCGGTCTTCTTTATGAATTCTATTCTCTTGCTTTTGGGATAATGGTTGTTAATCTCTCCCAAAAAGTTACTGCAGGCTCTCTGCCAGTATTTATTATCTTTCCATAGTGATGAAATTTCCTCATTAGTTAAAGGTACTACAATTTCTGTTGGGTCCATTCCTGTCAACTGGCGAAGTCTTAGTTTACCTTTTTGAATCAAATCAGAGATCTTTTCTATATAAGTCTTTAATTTCTTATTTGGTTTATGTGGTAGGAATATCCATTCCAATATAATATCTTCCCTCTGCATCAAAATACCTGTTGGGGAATGTCTGGAGGGGAATATGACAAGAATGCATTTAAGTTCTGGATCCACATGATCCACATGTACTTCTCTAATTGTCTTTTCTACTAGAGCCAATTCCTTCTCAGCTTCGGCTGATAATTCTCTTGGACTATTTAGTTCTTTGTCCCCTTCTAGAGTATTAGCCAAATTTTGTAGTCCCTCTTTGGGTATTCCCATGATACCCAGTAAGTTGGAAATGCTTCCTAATAACTTTTGAAAATCATTAAGAGTCTTCAATCGATCTCTCCTTAGTTGTACCTTCTGGGGTCTAATTTTTTGTAGCTCTATCTTATATCCTAAGTAATTAATAGAATCTCCTCTTTGTATTTTTTCAGGAGCAATTTGCAGTCCCCAGCGATGTAAAACTTTCTTTACTTCTTCAAACATGCTTTCTAATGTGTCTAACTTTGGATCAGCTAATAGGATATCATCCATATAGTGAT